CTGCCTTTTTTATCTTTATCCTTTGCAAATAAAAAAGATATTTCTTTTTGTATGTGTGTGTAGTTTGCGGCTTCTTTTTTTCCACCCAGGGCCAAGATCCCCTTTGCTGCTGCTTGTATAACCCTCTTAAGGATGTACATTGGGAGCAGAAAGTCCCGGAAAATATGGGAATTCGTCTTAGGATCTCTGCTTCTTGTTTCTCTTTTAAGAATATTAAGGTGCTAGTCCTTATGGCAAGAGAATTTGCCAACACAGATGCTGCATTTTAAAAGCACAATAGGGATTTGTCTTCTGGCTCTATCATGAATAAAAGTCTGTAGAGATTCTCAATCTCCAGATCATGGTGGTTTTTTCAAGAGGCAACTGGACTTTCTTTGTTTTTTTCTTTTGGAGACATTTCGCTTCTCATCCAGGAAGCTTCTTCAGCTCTTGATACGAAGGATTTATATCCTTTGCACACAACATCTTCGAAAAGGAAAAAAGCAAGAAACTCCAGTTGCCTCCTGAAAAAGCATCTTTGAGATAAATAAAAGCCAAATTGCTTTTAGGAAAAACAAAATAGGACACACACACACAAACACACACTCCAGAGGGTAATTAGGACTGCAGAAAGAACAATGGCTACCAACCTGCCTTCCATTGAGGACCTGTATCCTGCACGAGTCAAAAAGAGGGCTGTGAAAATATCTCCAGACCCCTCACATCCCAGACATAAACTATTTCAACTCCTTCCCTCAAAACGATGCTATAGAGCACTGCACACCAGAACAACTAGACACAAGGGGAGTTTTTCCCCCCAACGCCATCACTCTGCTAAACAACTAATTCCCTCAACACTGTTCAACTATTTTCAAAGTCTGCATTACTATTAATCTTCTCATCACTCCTTATCACCCATCCCCTCCCACTTGTGACTGTGTGACTGTAACTTTGTCGCTTGTATCCTTGCTATTGTTATTGACTCTTTCCTAGTATGATTTGATTGCTTATTGTACCCTATGACTATTATTAAGTGTTGTGCCTGATGATTCTTGACTCTTGACGAATGTCTTTTATGTACACTGAGAGCATTTGCACCAAGACAAATTCCTGTGTGTCCAACCACACTTGGCCAATAAAGAATTCTATTCTATTCTACAGTATATTCTATTCTATTCTATTCTCTATTCTATTCTATATCCTATATTCTATTACATTATATTCTATTCTCTATTCTATTCTATTCTATTCTATTCTCTATTCTCTTCTCTATTCTCTATTCTATTCTATTTTCTATTCTATTCTATTCTATTCTATTCTATTCTATTCTATATTCTATTACATTCTATTCTATTCTCTATTCTATTCTATCACACACCGGCTGGTTCACGGTACAGGTAGTCCTTGACAACAATGGTTTGTTTAGTGACTGTTCAAAGCTACATCATCGCTGAGAGAAAAAAAAACCTGCATGACTGTTTTTCACACTTAACAACTGTTATGGTCTCCCTGTGATCACGTGATGGAAATTCGGGCGCTTGGCAACTGACTCGCACTTATGACGGTTGCAAGTATCCCGGGGGGGTCACGTGATCTCCCTTTTGCAACCTGACAAGCCAAGTCACTGGAGATTCACTTAATAACGGCAACGATTCACTTAACAGCTGCGGCAAGGAAGGTCGTAAAACAGGGCAAATCTCCCCAAACAAATGTCTCGCTTAGCAGCATCCACGTTGGGCTCTATTGAGCTCGTAAGTCAAGGACTAACCTGTACGTGGTTTAAAGACGGTTTGTCCAATAAACTGCACAACTCGGTTAGCGATGGAAATTCCCGTCCCAATTGTGCTCAGAAGTCAAGGATCATTTCAAAAGCTCCTTTCTGATTGCACCGTGAGCGGCAGACATATCCAGCTTGTTTGGCCAAGGACGCAATGCATGGCTCAGTTTACTCCATTGCAGTAAGCCATAACGTGGGTTTGTTTGGTTCTGGATTAGTGCTTGTCTGGACGTTCAGGCCGTGTTATCGGCAGTCTACCCTACAAAGATTAGGACGTCCCCAGGCAGTTTAACCATATCGTGGCTCAAATGCTCCCCCTCCCCTATACACACAATGCAGTGGTGGGATTCAAATATTTTTTTTACCACTGGTTCGGTGGGTGTGGCTTGGCGGGCCGCAGAGGCATTCTAACTCGCCTCCTGCAAGCCTGCATGACCCCAGTCGCTTATTAAAAAGGTAAAAAGGTTCCCCTCGTGCATATTAGTCATTCCTGGCTCTAGGGGGCGGTGCTCGTCTCCGTTACGAAGCCGAAGAGCCAGCGCTGTCCGAAGACGTCTCCGTGGTCCTGGGGCCGGCAGGACTAAACACCAAAGGCGCACAGAATGCTGTCACCTTCCCACCAAAGGGGTCCCTATTTTTCTACTTGCATTTTGATGTGTTTTCCAACTGCTAGACTGGCAGAAGCTAGAACAAGTAATGGGAGCTCACTCCATTACGCGGTGCTAGGGATTCGAACAGCCGAACTGCCGACCTTTCTGATTGACGAGCTCAGCATCTTAGCCACTGAGCCACCACGTCCCTCTATAATTCTTATTAGGGTTGACTAAAATCACCGTCACCTTTGGCAGCTACGTCAGTTTATCACTTGTGAGGCTGCATCACAACCATAAATCACACCCCTCAAAATAAATTTGGTTCCAGCTATTTAAAATTCACAGCTGGGTTCGGTTGCCGTCAGATAAGAGATCCAACTTTTCCAGGTGGGAAAACTGCCACTGCCTTTACCAACAAAGAGAGGAAGGTCCCGACTTACAACCATTCGCTTCATGACAGTCGGAAGTTACAACAGCATTGGAAAATGCTCCCATTTCGAACCAACGGTCCCATTTTCCAAGATTTAGATGCTTGGCAACTGGCTGGTACTTATGATGGTTGCAGGGTGAGGAAGCTTGGATCCAGGGATCACACGATCCCCCTTTTGAGAGATTCTGGCAAGCAAGTTCAGCGAGGAAACCAGATTCACTAAACAACCACCTTCCTAACTTAGGAACTCCTTAACATGCAGCGATGCGCTCAATAGTTTTGGGAAGAAAGGTCACCAAATGGGGTAAAACTCACTTTTTTTAAAAAAAAAAAAGTCTCGCTTAGCAACAAATTTGGACCTCAATTGTGGTCGTAAGCCGAGGACTACCACTATTTTATTTTTTTAACAAGTGTCTTGCTTATCAACGGACGTTAAGAGGCTCAATTGTGGTCTGTAGAGATTCTCAATCCTCCAAGTTGTGATTGTCCCTAAGGTGCTTTTTTTTTTAAAGAAGCAAATGAACTTTCTGGTTTTTCTTTGAAGACGTTTTGCTTCTCAACCAAGAAGCTTCTTCAGCTCTGACTGGATGTTGGAGGATGGAAGGATTGATACTCCTTTGCAGACAGCTGGTCATTTGCATCCTTTTTAGAGAGTCATTGAGGCTACTTGGCCCCTCTCTCAATAGAGTGGGAGGGATATACGACCTCATCTATCTCCAGTGTACAACACAGTCCTTTCAGCAGATCCAAGAAGGCTCCACACCCATTTGCACCCCTCAGGTGTGACCCTGAGGACTCAGACAAACCTCCAAGTGGCCTCAAGGACCCTCTAAAAAGGATGCAAATGACCAGCTTGTCTGCAAGGAGTATCAATCCTTCCATCCTCCACCATCCAGTCAGAGCTGAAGACGCTTCTTGGATGAGAAGCGAAACATCTTCAACAGAAAAAAAAAAGCAAGGGAGTCCAGTGGCCCCTCGAAAAATAAAAAAAGCATGTTTGGGATTCAATTCTGGCCGTTCACGCGAGGACCCCCACCTGTAAAACAAATCATGAGGGCTAGAACCTTGAGAGAGGGAGAAAAATCAAATAAAAGAAGGGCTATTTTGGATGGTTATATATCCGAGATAAATCAAAAAATACCTCAGATGTTTTGCACCAACCTGCAAAGGAATTCAAATCGCGTTTCATCTAAGTAGTTCATTGAGGTCAATTCAATTTTAAAAAAAATTATTATTATTTTTTTTAAAAAAAGGTTGGATTAGGCTGCAAAGTTGCTGAAGCAGCGATTCTGGACCAGGAAGAGAAAGACAGAACGAAAAAGCAGATTTAAGGACCAACCCTGCACAATCTTCCCCGAGCAAGCTTCAACTTGCTGGCATGCTCCTCGCTGTCTCCCAGCCTCGATAATTACAGTTATTAGCAACGGAGTGCCAAGGAATCGAATCTCGGTGTAAACAGCAATTGGTGGAGGGCCTTTTATACTCTTGGAAAAAGAAAGAGGGGTGGGTGGGTAAAGCAACAGGTTTATCAGTTATGCAAAATTGCATAGCTTGGGGGAAGAGACAGGAGAAAACTCACCTTCGTGGCACCTGATTTTTAAGGCTGGGGTGTGGCACGTTGCTTTTAATTACAGAAATAACACAACCCTCCTTGTTGTGATCCCTTGAAAAACAGACTCTTTTTTGCCCTCCAGGAAACTGAACGGAGGAGTGGAAGCAGTTCCGCGTCTTTTGTTTTGCTGGACTACGATGCCGCATCATCCCCAGCCGGCCCCGTTGAGGATGATGGGAGTGTAACCCAAGGAGAAGGTTGCCTTCCGAGACTTAGAACCGTCTCTCCCACCTCGGGTAATTTCAGGGCATAATGAAGCCAACTCTGGCCTATGTCGTTTACAGTCCCCCGTGGCCCTGTTTCCCCCCTCCCCCCCTGGGTATGTCATAAATCAGATTCTCCAACTGAGCACGTTCATGGACTGGGTGTCATCAATCACATTCTCCAATTACGGTCTGGGTGTCATCAATCACATTCTCCAATTAAATATATCCGTAGGCAAAAGCTCTGGTATTTTAGTTACATTCTTTTAAAGCTTAAGAGTTGGAATGTACTTTCCCTTCCAAACTGCTGCCCTGTTCTTCCAGATTTCCTTCCTTCCCACCCACCCCTTTTTTTTTTTAATGGCAACTACTAAAACAAGAATGTTTTATGAGTTGACACAAGGTTCTTGGGAAGCCCAAAATCTTTTTGGTTTTATTGTATATGAAGAACCCGAAACAACAGGCATTCACTGATCTGGCACAGATTAGTCTGCATGGATCATCCGTGGCAAACAATACAGAACTACCCATTTTTGTGGTTTGGTCCCTGATATCAAACAACCAAGATCACAAGCAGACTTCAACCAAAGCGACTTTTCTTCCACCCCTTTCTGTTCTCCTGGCTGCAAAATTAAGAGAGTCAGTTCAGAGTGAGGAGAAGCAGCAGCAGCCGATAGAAAATATCTCGGGGTTTTCGACGGGAGATCTCGAGTTCAAGTTCAGCGCTGCTTCGCATGCAGGCCCGTAGGTGTCCTATGTCTTGAGAGGTTAACGTTTGAATTCAGGACATCCTCAGCAAAATTCAGGACACCGCAATGGGGGAGGCCGTGCGGGAGGCCGTCTTGCCGTCCAAACGAAGGAACTTTTGCAACACGATCGCGACAAAAACCGAACCGCCCCCTCCCCAACACATTCAGACGTGAAGTTTATCTTTCACGTGCGTCCCAAATGAATGTCCAATTATTATTATTTTTTTTCCTCTAGTATTTGGCAGTTCGGGAACTCTTGAAGGAGCGAGACACGATCTTCTTCAACTCTTTGAAAGAACGGCTGCGTCGAAGCTTAAAGTTGTGAGGTGGCAAATCGGATGAATCCAACGTGGCGGACCCGTGTAGCCATCGGTCTCCAAGCTGGTGGAACATCCATTCTCCATTCAGGCTGACCGCGCTGGTCGCTTCTACCTCGCTCAGCCTGGGCCCGTTGCCGGGAAGTCCGGCCCGCTGGCGAGGCGGCAGGTCAAAATGGCCGCCCTCTGGGAAGCAGAAGGTTGCTGGGGCATCGGAGGAAAAGGCGAGGTTGCGGTTCAAAACCACCGGTGGCAGGAATGTCCCTGGTTTCGCACGATGGCGTCCAGAGGACTTGCTGGAAATTTCCAGCACCGATGTCCATTTCGGCTTGGTGGCCTTGCCTCGGTTCGGTTGAAGTTGGCTGGGACACACCAGGCCCGCGGCCGCGTGAACATTCATTTCGGAACTGGCTCGGGCCCTGCCCACCCCGCGGGATGACGGCTTGCGCCGGAGGCTTAATCTGCGTAGCAATTCGCGGGGGCTCAACCAGCTTCTCTCAGCTGCCTTCTCTCCTCGCTCGGAGGTTTTCACCAACTCCCGCGAAGAGTGTTTGCCTTTGTATAGTTTGTCGATGCCAGTCGTGGCCCGAGGCAACGAAGACTCCTTTCTGAAGGAGGATTCTGTCTTGATTATCAGTTGGTGGGGCCCTGCTGCCCAAATTTTTCTATCCAGCGTGGCGGATGGCTTGTTCAGGATGAGTTTGACGGAAGGAACCTGTGTTGTCGTGAGGGACATAACAGACGACTCGCTAGGTTTAACCAGGTTGGTGGGACTCGACTGAAACGAGCTGATCTCTGGGAATGGCGGGAAGTCCCACAACCCATCCAGGACTCTGGAATCTCGTGCTCCCTCTGAACCTTCGGGAGAACGCAAGTGAGAACAGGTGGAGATACGCCGTCGGATCTTCCATCCTGGAATCGGGCCCAGGACTTGACCAGCCACCGGTCCCGAGCTGCAGATGGACGTCATGGATAAGCTTTTCTGATTCCCCGCGAGGTATCCTGATTCGGTTCGGCTCGCTGCCGTGCGGCACTTGTACCGTAGCACCAGTTTCGCCATGTATTGTTCCAAGCGGATCTTCGGGAGTCCTCCGGAGCAGAGAGGGTCTCTCTTGGGAGAGTCGGATCTGGAAACCTGGGGAGGCGTCTCGTCAAGATCTTCCTGGGACGAGCTTTGAGAGAGGCCGTTGGTGAAGAGGGGGCTCTGTAAAGCTACCGCGTGGAGAGGACTGGGGTAGTGGTAGACTTCGTTGGTGTTTCGGGAGACCAGATCGGACTTGTACCGTAGAAGCTGGAAATTCGGGGGTCTCGGGAGGGGTAGGGATCCAAGGCCCAACAGGAACTCGAGGTCACCTGTCCCAAGAGACACAATGAAAAAGAACTCATGAGGTACAGGAATCTACAATTCTGCGCAAGAGCGATCAGGAGGCTGTGAGTTCAACCCTAGGTAGAGGCAGATATTTCCCTCTCTGGGCACAATGAGAATATTATCTGCCGAACAAAACTCCGCTCTGGTGACAGGAGGGGCATCCGGCCAGTAAAACCCTCTGCTAGCTCCATTCAGTTGCACTGATTCCACCCCGCGAGGGATTATGGGATCTTTAAAAGATGATGATGATCTTTTAATGAAACAAAAATAGGGAATCGGTAGCTCCCAAGTACACTTTCAAATTGTAGGATTATAGACCGGGACAGGACATCTACCTATCCACTCAGAACATCCTTTCTGTAGATAGTCCTTGACTTACAACAGCTCATTTAGTGGTAGTTTGAAGTTACACTGAAAAATGTGACTTACGACTGTATTTCACACTTACGTCCATCACAGCATCCCCCGGGGATAAAAAGTGACACATATTTATAATAGTCGCAGCGTCCTGAGGTTGTGTATACTGCAGTGTCCCAGGGTTGTGTACTACAACAGCACAAATCTTAAGCTACCTTTCCCCGATTGTCTACACAGAAACAAATTCAGACTGAATGACGTGCCGAGGATTTTGCTTTTAAGCCATAATTAGGTGGGGTATTTTGTACCTTGCCTTGAGGGGACTATAAAACGGAGACATGTTCATGTAAACAAACAGGTTGGAACAGGGGAAGTTGACTGTATTTGCATGTCGAAGCAAAAACACAATTAAACTCTGGTGCCTGGCTAACTTGGATCGTTTCCCTGGATCGACAGCTCCGAGATAGCGTGCCAGGTTTACTCATACGAGGGGGTAGAATGCCATCGGGACTTTCTAGAAGATTGAGAAGATACTAAGCACCCCTGAAGGATTCCCCCACTCCCCAAAAATACACCAGGAAGATGTGTGTTAACATTTGCTTCCTTTAGCTTTGCAATAAAAGTATTCAAAAGATCGAATAAATAAATCGATCCAGCCACGCATTTATTATTCCTCTCCTCGATGTGAACCGAAAAGTTTCTAGTCCTCATTGCTGCTCCCAACCTCTTTGAAATATTCACAAACTAGAAGAGGCACTGAATTTGAGAATTAAACTTCTCTTAAGAGGCTGGTTTTTAGGAATCTTTGATAACAGCCCTGTAAGGTAATCCATGCTAAGAGTGACAGCGAAATACCAGAGATCCAGGTTCAAATCTCTCCCTCTGTCAGATGGCTCCTGAGCTTGCTGCATACGGTCTAATCATGGCTTATTACACAAACCCTACTGCAATGTTTCTCAATGTTGACAACTTCAAGATGCGTGGAGTGGACTTCAACTCCCTGAATTCTCGGAATTGAACTCCGTCCATCTTAAGGTATGCCGGCTAAGGAATTCTGGGAGTTGAAGTTCACCCATCTTGAGGCACACCAGCTAGGGAATTCTGGGAGTCGAAGTTCACTCATCTTCAAGTTGCCAACGTTGACAGACAATGCCTTGCTGGCTGGATTCACCCGACACACTTACACACCCTGACTCCAAACAGCCAATGATATCAGCCAAGATTTCACTGTCATTCTTAGCATGGGCTACCTTGCAGGGCTGTTGTAAGAATTTAAAAAACCAGCCTCTTAAGAGCAGGCTTCGTTCTCAAATTCAGTATACCTTCTCTAGATTGTGGCTATTTCAAGGATGCTGGGGGCTGCGATGAGGACTAGAAGCTTTCTTCATATCATACAGGCATATACATACTTTTGTATTTATTTTGTCATGTTTATGCAGTGTATATTGGAGGTGGTGACCCTTTGAGAGCTGTATGCAACGAAATTTCATTTTAATGTATACAGATTAGTGTACATTCAAAGTGACAATAGTTTTTATTCTATTCTATTCCATTCCATTCCTCTTCTCTTCTACTCTGTATCTCATCCCTTCTCTTCTCTCTCTATCTCTCCTCTATTCCACTCCATTTTTATCTCATATTCTATTCCTATTTTTATTCTATATTCTCTTCTCTTCTGTATCTCTTCTCTTCTCTCTCTCCTCTATTCCATTCCATTGTTATATTCTATTCTATTCTATTTCTATTCTATTGTCTCTTCTCTTCTACTCTGTATCTCTTCTCTTCTCTTTTCTTCTCTTCTCTCTCTCTCTCTCTGCTCTATTCCATTCCATTCCATTGTTATCTCATATTCTATTCTATTTCTATTCTATTCTATTATTCCATTACTCTACTCTACTTACTCTATTCTTTCTTTGATTCACATCTAGGAAAGGCTGAGAATGATAAATGCAGGCCGGAATCAATTTATTCGATTTATAATAAATACCTTACTCTAAAGACTAAAGACCGCCAAATGTTAAAACATCCTCCTAGCGGAGATACTTTCAAAAATTTCCCAGGGGAGCTTCTATGACCAAGGTGGAACTTGAACCCAGACCTCCTTGCCTTCGACCACAGACTCTCGTGTTTCATGTTCCTCTTAAGGACGTTCCCTCATATCCAGGATGGAGACACACACACACACACACACACACACACATACACACAGTCACCCTCCCCATAAGGAATACGAGGCCTTAATGTTGTGGTCCGTCAGCAGCCTGTGGAGATGGCAGGAGAGTCAGACAGTGGGGAGGAACATAGACCAGTCCTGGAGTCCGGGCAGGACTCGGACGTTGGTCCTGCGTCCGACCCAGAGATGGGGCCAGGACCATCTGGGAGTGATGTGCTGACTCCGGAGCCTCCAGAATCTGACAGCAGCGAGGCAGAGGAATAGCGAGAGCCTGTTCCCAGTGTGTGCATGCACAGAGCTGCTAGAAGGCAAGAACAGTTAAGACAAAAGGGGAAACTCTGGAGTAAGGCTTGGAGGCGATTGGCCCTCCCATAAGACATAAAGGAGGAGCAAAGGGACAGGAGCCTTTGCAGGAAGCAATTTTGTTTGTACTGATCGGTTTGAAGCCTGAAGCTCTGTGTTAAAATTTATGCTCCGATTGGCCTCGTATAACTAATTGGACATTTAGTTGCGGCAGCATTTCAAAGGAAGATAAAGGTGTGTGATTATCAGATTTATCCTGAAGGACTTTGGCAGACTTCCATGGGACTATTTACAAACTGTTTGAGACTCATTACGGGCCGTGAATGACTAAAATTCACAGCTGTTGAAATAAAGGAAAAAGGAGTTTGGGACTAACGTGTGTTTGTGAGTGTCTTCATGAGCCTTGGTCAGAACACTTACCGGTGGATACCGGACGTCGATTGTCAGTCCCGGCTACGCTGGCCAAGGTCAGGCGCTGAAGTTGGAGGTCAAGGAGCCGGACGGCAGCCTCGTCGGTGGACCGCGGCCGGATCAAGCCATTATCACGCAATCCAGGCAGGTGAGGGAGGGAACCGATGCTACACCGTGAAGCCCTGGCTCCGTCGCTGTGCACCGAGGCGCATGAATCCGAGAGGGAGCCCATCTCGCTGGTTTCGTAAAACCCTGAAAGGCGCAGAGACCCCCTGGTTATGACAGGCCGGGCTGCAAACTCCAGGTAGTCCTTGACTTACAACAAAATTGTTCTGTCGCTAAGCAGAGCATCCTTTCGGGGAGATTTGCCCCATTTCACGACACTCGCCAGTGGTTAAGCGAACCGATGAAGTGGTGCTACACTGTAACTGTCGTAACTATGAGTCAATTGCCAAGAGCCTGAATTTCAACTGTCATAAGTATGAGTCGGTTGTCAAGCGTCTCCTTGGCCGTTAAGTCACTTTTTTTGGTGCCATTGTAACAACTTTGGCTAACTAACAGGCAGATTCAGCCCCAAGCCAGGATTTTATCTTGTGGAGGTATAGATGGCTTAAACTACCAACCACTGTTGATACATTGGGGTTTCACAGTTGGCTGCCATATCTTAGCTTGCGTTAACCGTGGCTTGCTGGGCCATAGATGAACAAATCGATTGCTTTGTCGGCCTGCCAGGGAGCGTTTGGAATGGTTGAACAGACCCAGGTTTACACAAACCCTGGTCAGGGAAGGCAAACAAAGGTAGGCATCCAAGAAGGGAAATGAAAAATAAGGATGTGGATTGTCTGATCAAGGACGTACCTGAACTGGGTCTAGAATCGGCTTCTGGCACCTCCGTGGTGTCTCCTCCGTTGAGGCCCACTTTCTTGGACTCCTCGCCCATCATCCTCAGCCCCAAACCGTCCTTGTCTGCGCCATCTTCAGCGGGAACACACAACTCCATGTTCTCCGATGAAGTATACAGGCCACAACCGAGAACTGCTTTGTTTGGCTCCAACTTCGCGCCACTGGGATGGGTCAACTTTCCATCCCCAAAGCCATTGGGGTCCTCCTGTTTGGCCAGGTGGAAGAAGAAAGGGAGGTCAAAAGATCTCTTTTTTTGGAAGGGTTTTTTGCAAAGACCCGTGGCACTCAACCTCGGAGGGATCCTATGTTTGCTGGAGTAGATCCCTCACACACCCTGCCTATCCTCCCCTCGTTTATGCCTCCTGCGTGGTTGCCAAAATTGTTGGCCTGAAGGTACCGTATGGATTCTGACCACAAGACAAACGTTACGACGGTCCCAAGAAGCAAATAATATGCCACTCACGCACTATCACAAAATCTCCAGAAGCCTACAAACTTGAAATTTGGCACGTAGGTTCCTCTTGGCTTCTAGGGGCTCACTAAAAAAGGATTTTTTTTCCAAATGACCATCAGAGCATTAGTATTTCCTATA